TTTAATTAGAAGATTAATGTATTATATTATAAGTGGAAATATTCATCTTCCGGGGTAAAAAAGTTTCCCCAAAATTTATAGTGGCACGTCGTGCCTAAAAAGGTTGAAGCTCATTTATCGAGGAAACATACAAAACGTTTTTTTCCTCGCGATTAAATACACCCCCATTATGTTTTTACGCGAACCTTTTTTTTAATTTTTTCTAAGAAAAAAATTTTACTTCACCAGTTACTTCATCGGAAGTTTAACAAAAACTATTTTGTATAATATATTATATATATATGATATATTTTTTTACCTGACTTATATGTATTTTTTTTAAGCAAAAAAATGAAATTAGGTGTATATATATTTTCCACATGTAACACGAATAAACATAAACTTCCTAATAAAAAGGAAAGAAAAAAAAAACAGATTAAAAAAGTGAAGTTAATCTTGGACTGAATAAATCATAAGCGTGTTTGTTTTCTTTCGTACTTGAAAACGTGTTTACTTAAACGAAATCGAAGGTCAATGACAGCCACCACATATCCGGATCCGGTTTCTTTTGTAAAAAAAAACATTCATTCGAGTGTCAAAGACTATTAAGTGTATCGGCATTGAAAGGATTAATCCTCGTATTGGGAAGTTTTTTTTTTAATTGATTCGTTAGATAAAATTCATTTAATTGACAGATAATACGAAAAAAATGATCGATATGTTTTACTTCTTTATATTGTAAGTTATTCATGAAAAAAAAAAAAAGAAAAAAGTTCAGATCTGCAACGACGAATTAAAATTGTAACCAAAAAAAATAATAATATCAAATTCGATACTAATGGAGTTTCGAAGTAATGAAGTAAAAATATTTGTGAGACGTAAAGAAAAATTTTTTTTTCTTTTTATAAAAGTAATCGTTCGTTGAATGAATTTCATTATGAAGTTCCTATAACTTAGGAATAAACAAAAAAAAAAGAAGAAAAAACAACGTTGGCAGGTTCATTAAACTGTAAAACCTTAACAAAACCCATTCACGTAACTCTGAGACCTTATTCAATCAGCTGCAGAGGTTTTTGAGGTCTTCTGTGATCGTAATTAAAAAAAAAATTAGATAAAGTCAAACAGGAAGGATATTATTTATAAAGATCGTCCTACGTTCGATTCCAAAAAAAAAGAAAAAGAAGAAAAATAACAAACATCAAACATCCAATAAATAAAATTTCCGACAAAAAAAAACATTTTTTCGTTCCCTCTAATCGCGAAAGATCATTGTCGTTAAAATAATCGCAAATATTTTGTACGTTTGATTGAAAAATAAAAAAAAAATGAAATAAAATCTCTTCTTTTTTTTATTATTCTCGAGAACTCATGGGTGCTTTTTTTTACTTTAATATATTTTATTATATATATTTATAATGTTTTATATATATATATATAATATATATTTGTTTGTTTTTATTTTTATTCATTTTTTCATTATTTTCATTATTCATTATTTTTCATTATTTTTATTCATATTCATTATGTTATATATATAACATAAAAAATCCTTCGTAAAAAAAAAGGAGAAACCTTCGAAAGAGAATATTTGGAGGACGTTTAGTCGAGATTCCTCATATCTTTCACTTCTTCATCCTCGCCGAATTTGACCTTTTTCTCTGTTTGAACCCTTGGATGAAAAAACAAAAAAGTAGAAAGTAAAAAAAGAAAAAGAAAAAGAAGGAGAAGAATAAGAAAACAAAAAAAACCAATAGGTCGATCGCTAGGACGCAACAGATGAGATGACACGATTCAAAAAACGAATTCCTCCCTTTTTTGAGGGAAAAGGGTTAATAAGAGTGAGAGAGAACATTTTAGGGTTGTAAATGTGTGTGTGTGTGTGTGTGTGTGTGTGTGTGTGTGTG